CACAGCTACAAGGAAAAGGTACCTATTTCTCACCCTTACTTTAAATTTTTCCGAACTGTTACAGCCTTTGAACTATAGACTAAAGTAAGGTAGTGAGAAGTGTATGCTTGTGTACTATCCAAATTAGCAGTGATTGACATTGTTAAACATGATTTTAGCCCCCCTTTGGTTCCCATATTTAGTGACAAGTGACAACTAATATTATCCATGTACATGTTTGGACTATGTCTAATAACCAGATCTGGATGAAAAATCTAATATCTCTGTAGCATATCTTTATCCATGAGGATACTCATTTTTAACCTGAGGCATGTGATTAATTCCCTTACATAAAGTTTTAGTATTGGTTTTGTGTCTGTTTTGATTTTTACTGACAGATTTTTTACATTATGCAGACATTGATGTTGAATGACAGAATTCAAAACCCGGATTCTCTCCAACATGTTCTGAGGAAAGCTGAAGAGTATCTAGGCACAGTTCCTTCTGAAACACCTTACTCAGAATTTGAACACAAATTCCAGGAGATTGGTTTGGAGAGAGGGTGGGGTGACACCGCTGAGCGTGTCCTCGAGATGATTCAGCTTCTCTTGGATCTTCTTGAGGCACCTGACCCCTTCACCCTTGAGACATTCCTTGGAAGAATCCCTATGGTCTTTAATGTTGTTATCCTTTCTCCCCATGGTTACTTTGCCCAAGATAATGTCTTGGGATACCCTGACACTGGTGGCCAGGTTAGTTATTTAGTTGAGATGAAATGCTTAGGGTATATTATTTCTCATACAATTTTCCTATCTTGAGTTTAACTTACATACTTTTTCTTAATTCTGTAATTCAGGTTGTTTACATCTTGGATCAAGTTCGTGCCTTGGAGAATGAGATGCTCCATCGCATTAAGCAACAAGGCTTGGATATTGTCCCTCGCATTCTCATTGTAAGTTCTAGTATGGTTTTATGAAGAGTTAGCTTGGTTGTGTATAGTGTATGGATATTTCTCTAATTGGTGCTTGTGGCTGATGTTCAATGCAGATCACCCGTCTTCTCCCTGATGCAGTAGGAACTACATGTGGCCAACGCCTTGAGAAGGTGTTTGGAACTGAGCATTGCCACATTCTTCGAGTTCCCTTTAGAAATGAGAAGGGAATTGTTCGCCAATGGATCTCAAGATTTGAAGTCTGGCCCTACCTAGAAACTTACACCGAGGTAAATCTTTGAGCCATAATTAGGACACCGTTCAAGCATCTTTGATGTTTTCACTTGAATTTAACATCCAATCCAATTATTTCTTGTCATTAGGATGTTGTCCATGAGCTTGCCAAAGAGTTGCAAGGGAAGCCAGATCTGATCGTTGGAAACTATAGTGATGGAAACATTGTTGCCTCTTTGTTGGCACATAAATTAGGTGTCACTCAGGTTCGTCTGCATGGACACTTACTATCTAGTTTTTATGTTTTAACCTTTCTTGTTGACTATATTTTGGAACTCAGAGGCCTAAGTTTCTCCCTTTATCTATTGTAGTGTACCATTGCTCATGCACTTGAGAAGACCAAATATCCCGAATCTGACATCTACTGGAAAAAATTCGAAGAGAAATATCATTTCTCCTGCCAATTCACAGCTGATCTTTTTGCAATGAATCACACTGACTTTATTATCACCAGTACCTTCCAAGAGATTGCTGGAAGGTAAACTATATCTTCATCATTCACTATGTATGTTGTTTTGCACAATGTTTATGTATTGATTATCTTAATGAATTTCTTGTATACATAATTCCACAGTAAGGATACAGTTGGACAGTATGAGAGTCACACTGCCTTCACCCTTCCCGGACTCTACCGTGTTGTTCACGGTATCGATGTGTTTGATCCAAAGTTCAACATTGTCTCTCCCGGAGCTGATCAAACCATTTATTTCCCATACACTGAAACTAGCCGTAGGTTGACATCATTCCACCCTGAAATTGAAGAGCTTCTTTACAGCTCAGTGGAGAATGAAGAGCACATGTGAGTTTCTGTCCTGTCCTGTCCCTCCCTCTCATTTCCTTTTATGTTATCATATAGAAACATTTGTGTAATGTAATTTCCATTGTCAACAGATGTGTATTGAAGGACCGCAACAAGCCAATTATCTTCACCATGGCAAGGTTGGACCGTGTGAAGAACATTACAGGACTTGTTGAATGGTATGGTAAGAATGCCAAGCTGAGGGAGTTGGTAAACCTTGTTGTTGTTGCTGGAGATAGGAGGAAAGAGTCCAAGGACTTGGAAGAGAAGGCTGAGATGAAGAAGATGTATAGTCTCATTGAGAACTACAAGTTGAATGGACAATTCAGATGGATTTCTTCTCAGATGAATAGGGTCAGAAATGGTGAGCTGTACCGTGTCATTTGTGACACAAAAGGAGCTTTTGTGCAACCTGCTATCTATGAAGCTTTTGGTTTAACTGTTGTTGAGGCCATGACTTGTGGGTTGCCAACATTTGCTACATGCAATGGTGGTCCTGCTGAGATCATTGTTCATGGCAAATCTGGTTACCACATTGACCCTTACCATGGTGACCGTGCTGCTGACACCCTTGTTGAGTTCTTTGAGAAGTCCAAGGTTGACCCTTCTCATTGGGACAATATCTCCCTCGGTGGTTTGCAACGTATTGAAGAGAAGTAAGCAAATTTTCCTCATTCTAACCATTTGTTAATGTGTTGTGTGAATTGTGATTAATAAGCTTTTTCTTTTTTTGCCTTGGTTCAACAGGTATACTTGGCAAATTTACTCTGAGAGGCTTCTGACTCTCACTGGTGTCTATGGCTTTTGGAAGCATGTTTCTAACCTTGACCGCCGTGAGAGCCGCCGTTATCTTGAGATGTTCTATGCTCTCAAGTACCGCAAATTGGTATATATTTCTTATCCCATTGCTATTATTATTCCTCTTCCATGTTTGGAGTCTTTTTTTTCAACTTACTAATATATTTTGTTCATTCTTTTTACCTTAGGCTGAGTCTGTGCCCCTTGCTATTGAAGAGTAAATGGAGGCTGAAGAGTTGAATGATAAACAAAAAGGAGGAACCGGCTTGTTCTCATTTGGAGTTATCAGTCGTCTTGAGTTTTTTTTTTCAAATAATGTCAATCATTTTGATTTTGTGATTAGACTTTGGATAAAAGGAAAAAAGAAGAAGAAAAAAAAGTAAAAAAAGAGAGTCATTTTCTTTTTCTTTCAGCATGATTTGAATCTGATTGGAAAGCTTTAATTTGGGTGTTTTACCCATCAATTCAAAAATTTCAAAGCCGTGCCTTCACTTTGTTGTCTTGTCCTTTATTCCCCTCCCAACTTTATATTTTATCAATTGTAGTTCCTTTTTGTCTTTATCCTTAAAACCATGACAAAAAAATGACAAACACAAAGCCACCCGGGCAATTTCATCCGTCAGTGTCTATCAATAGCAAAAGTGAAAATTGACGTTAGAATTTATACATATTAAGTGTCAATTCTCGATGTTCGATTAGTATAATTCACGAGCATATCAAATCCTTTTCAGTTGGGCTTATATGTTGGGTCATAAGTCATACACGTCTTGTGTATGTACCACCAAAAATTAATAATAATTCTGACATGAGAGAGTTGTTTCTTTATTGGGGCTTCCCCTCATCCACTGGGTCTGTACCTTTCATGGTATTCAAGTAAATATGGTATTCATGGTATTAATTATTTTGTTTAATTCAGTCTATATTAATTTAAATTATTTTATAACTGTTAATTAATTATTTTTAGGAGTGTTAATTAATTTCATTTAATTTAGTTTAAGTTATGTTAATTTTTTTGAACTATTAAGTAATTAAATTTTATTAAGGAGTGTTATTGAATTAAATGTAATTTATGTTTGTTAATTATTTTAGTTTAATTCAATCTATGTTAATTAAAATTATTTTATAACTATTAATTAATTATTTTTAAGAGTGTTAATTAATTTCATTTAATTTAGTTTAAGTTATGTTAATTTTTTTTTTGAACCCTTAAGAAATGTAATTTAATTTAGGAGTGTTAATGATTAAATGTAATTTATGTTTGTTAATTATTTTAGTTTAATTCAATCTCTATTAATTTAAATTATTTTATGACACACACGTAACATGCTATGTTGCATAACATGTTTGTCACGTGTCAGTGTCAGAAAAGCTGACTAAACATGCTATGTTACATAACACAGTTTAGACACGTGTCAGAAAAGCTAACTAAATATGCTATGCTGCATAATGTTTGACGCCACGTGTCTACACCTAATTTGCCAGCTGCCACGTGTTCACACCTAACTTGCTATGCTGCATAATATGTTTGATGCCACGTGTCTACACCTAATTTGCCAGCTGTCACGTGTCCACACCTAACTTGTCAGGTGTTGTAGCGAGTTAGGTGACATAATATTTTGGGAAAATTTCTGCAAAGCATGGCGTTCAGCTAATTTTTTGCAAAAAATATGACACTTTGATCGTCGTCCCGTATTATTCTATACTTCAACTTTTCTTCAATGATTATATTCACATATTTTTATGTTATTAAATCTTGGACTGTATTTTTTTTATTTTTTATAATAGTTTATATTTTACTCCATAAAATTATGTTTGCAGGCTCAAACTGGTTTTAACACCGGCATGTTGGATGAATTTGACCTCGTCGTATTTTTTTTAATAAGAGGAAACGATCTCTCAATTTGAGAATTCTATTGAATATCCACCGTCAATTGTACAGGAAAAGAGAGTTGGATTGGAAAATATTCCCATGATCAATATGGAATATGAGATAAGATGACGTGATGTAAATTCTTTTTTGAGGATTTTAACTTCAACGGTCAAAAAGCTCTAAAATGTAGCTATGTACTAGGAGCTATGAAATGCTGTTTTAGTATTTCTATATGTATACCATATGCTCTCCAAGTTTTGTTAATGTCGATATAACCGAAAAAGGATACAAATCCCATAGCAATAGGTATTAGCAGTATTTTCTCCAAAATAAAAATAAAAATAATAGTTTGTAAAACTACAGGGAAAAAAATACCCTTAAAATTTACAAGTGACCATTTATGCCCTTCTATGAAAGAGTACCGATTGGCAAGTGGATGCAGGAAATCTTGCAACAACTATCGAACCAACTTTTCTCCTTGGACTGGAAGATGGGAGGGGCTTAACAGTAAATCATGAAGAGTAAGTAACATGGATTCTCATTGCTTTGGAAAATATTGGAGTCACTCGTGATTTAGTGTTACAATAAATATGCCTCTGAAAATGGCAAACAAAAGAGAAATAAAGGAGTAGAACATAACTGTATTCCCACCTAAGGTCCTATATACTGACTCTTCAGCATCATATAGCGTTCTGATAAATAGTGACAAAGCTAGCCAAACTTGCAGCAATCCTACTGTACACTTAGATTGGTTGATAAAGTACAAAAAGAAAGCGTCAAAAACTTTGTACAAACCTGTAGCCTTCTACTTACAAAATTGACCTTGTACATCATTTCAAAAATCTAAAACCCCCACCATGATTGGTGCCTGCCTCTAGGTTCCAGATGAGAATTTTGCATTATACTCAGAGAACTGAAGCCTTTAATTTTCCATAAGTTTCATCTTTCTTTGTATGCCCCTCAATTACCGTCTTTCCCATTCTCTACTTCTCATTTTCTTGTACTGTGCATAGTAGAATCAAAATGCCCCACCAACCACTTACAATTTTGGCATATTAACAGGAAGGCATTACCAAACTCATAATTTTAATGTTTTTCACAGATGAATTTTCTACTCATTCCTGAGCTTCTCTTTTTTGTGAAGTCTGTCTAGGGTAGAGGAGTATTGCCAATGATAAAGAAAATAACAAACCAACTAAACCACTAAATGGTTGAAATGGATGACTTCCGATTATCCAGAGAGGAAAGTTGCCCTTATTATTATATGTTAAAAAACCACCTTTTTGCAAGATAAAAGTGGATGCCATCATCCCTGTGCGTAGCCCTATAGGAATCGAGAGGCTGCCTCCATTTCTCTGTCGGGCACCTGACAAAGACAAAGATAAAAGCCAAAGTCCTGGTATTGCTTGTAGACACCTGAAAACCCCACCAAAAGAGAAGATAAGATTTTGACTAGGAAAAAAGAGAATAAAACTCTTGTAGATTCATATGCATTGTAAGCTTGCCTAGTAAATACAAACACAAGCCTAGAAAAGAAAAAGGAGGTATGTTGTTAAAAGGACACCTCCATCGTTATTTTTATAAATAAAGGAAACAAAACAACAATTAACTAACTAATCTGGGAGTAGAAACACCCATGGAGTCCTGCTGCACAAGGGAGCTGCATCCTAGCGGGGATTCTCAAAGGTAACAGTATCCTAGTCTTGGGAGAGGGATAAATTCGCTAACCAGTCAGCAGCTTTGTTAGCTTCCCTAGGGGAAATCATGAGATGCCAAGGTCGACTGAGAACAGATTGAATTCTCTAGACCAGTTTAAAACAAGGCTTTTGAGGACTACAGCCATTCAAAAGAAAAGTGACCAGGGTTGTAGAGTCACTCTCGAGCCAGATGTGCTTGTACCCACACTCCCAAGCTTGATCTAGACCAACGAAGGCACCCCAAAGTTCAGTGGGGATGAAATTGCATTGCCTCTGCCTAAGTTCTTGGAGAAGCCCAACAGCCATCTACCACTGCAATCTCTCATCACACCACTGCATCATTCCGCCTAGACTCCCACTTACAAGCGCCATCCGAGTTGAGTTTGGTCCAGCCAAAGGGGGGAATTTCCATTTAACCAGAATCTCTGATTTTTTCCAACTAGGGGAAATTCCTGCTCAAGAAAGAGTTTGCTCCGCGACTAAAATGCTGTCAGATATACATCTAGCCCGAGCAATCAAATTCTCCTGCGTTTTGCTACTACCTTCGAATACAAGCCTATTCCCGTCCTGCCAAATGAGCCAACAACACACACCAAACAAAATGTCTAGAAGATTTAGATGAATCATTTTTCTTGCAAAGAATGAATCCCAGCCAGTCTAGAAGGGAAGGGTTGAAGGAGTGATTATTCTGCTCATTGCCAATCAGCTTTAGCTAGAGCTCTCTGGTCCATCTATAGTCCTTGAAAATATGTAGGCAATCATTAGTGTGGAAAGAACACCGAGGACAGCTGCTCAGATCCCCCATGTGTCTCCTGATTCTTTCCGCATTTGTAAGCAGCTTTTGTCCTATAAGGAGCCAAAGGAAATTCTTTATATGATAGGGCCCCTCCCAGTCCCAAATCAGAGACCAGTCACACTGAGAAAGGGAAGAACTAATCGGGTTAAGGAGGTTGTAGGCAGACTTGACTAAAAAAGCACCATTTTAGTCATGTCCCAAATGACCCCATCCTCACCCTTGTCCGGAGAAGGAGGGATAATCCCAGTCATCGAGCCAATCGTATCCGAAGGCAAGAAACGACTCAGAAGATCCCAGTTCCATGAACCATCTTCGGAAACATAGTCCTCAACTTTCTTAGATAGCTCTGATTCAGGGTTGAAACTAGTAACCAGTTTCCTTCCTGAATCAGAGTTATCTAAGAAAGTTGAGAACTAACCGGGTTAAGGAGGTTCTAGGCAGACTTGACTAAAAAAGCACCATTATTAGTCATGTCCCAAATGACCCCATCCTCACCCTTGTCCGGAGAAGGAGGAATAATCCCAGTCATCCAGCCAATCATATCCGAAGGCAAGAAATGACTCAGAAGATCCCAGTTCCATGAACCATCTTGGCAAACATAGTCTCCAACTTTCTTAGATAGCTCTGATTCAGGAAGGAAACTAGTAACCATATTCAAGAGTGAGCCGCAGTTAGTCACCCTATTATTAGACAAAAACGAGTGTTCTTCCCATTTCCAATTTGGATTCTCAAGCCTTTAAGGACCTCTGGCCAGGAATTAGTTATACCTTTCCAGAGGTTGGAGGAATTGCTCCTTCTTTTGACCTTCGGAATAAGGTCATCCCCATGGTTGTTAGTATCGCACGATACGCGATACGTATCGTGCGATACGATACGATACGATACTAACCCAAATCGATACAGATCGCAATAATGAATCGTTTTTGGTATGAATCGTGGGTTGGAATCGTAGAATCGAACGATTCGCAACCGAATCGTGAATCGAAATTACATTTGTGATTCAAAATATAAAAAAAAAACTCAACAGTCGCTTTAAAAAAAAAAAAACTCAACAGTCGCTTGGAACGACATGATGTTACTTGTTATATGAAAGGTTGCTTCAGAAAAATCAGGGATTCAAAATCCAATTTAAAAAACAAAAGGAGCGAAACAGAAATTTCAGAAATTGAAAAAGCAACGAAACAATGAAATTGAAACAGAAATTAAAAAACAAGAAGCAGCGAAACAGAAATTTCAGAGGAGAGACTATGTGTAGAAGAAGACTTGCAGAGGAGAAGAGCGTGTAGAAGAAGACGAAGAAGACTTGCAGAGGAGAACGTGCAGAAGAAGACTTGCAGAGGAGAACGGCCGTACGGGTACTATTTTTTTTTGTTTTGAAACAGACGGGCACTATTTTTGAAATGGGTTTGTGATTGGAATTTGTAAATAAATTTAAATATTATAGTGATGGGAGGATCAGAGGAATACATATATTAATATATTATTATAATATTATGAAAAAGCTGCAATGTGTTCTCAATTTAAAATGCATGAGAGGATGTGTTTTATAAATAGATTATTGTTTCTATTTATAAGACACGTACACATTTCAAACCAGGTTGGACTAGTGTGTATTGATTGGCATCTATTTTTTTTATAGCCCTGAAGTTGGCCTTGGTCCTTGATTTGAATTATTGTTGGATATTGAATGGATATGAAATATATATGAACAACCAGGCTTTATTTCACTCAGTGGGGTCATCCGATCAAACAATGTTATTGGATTCTCTAAAATGCCAAATTTCCTATAAAACCAAGATCAAGGCCTTTTTTTTAGCAGTTTCTCGTAATTGTTTATTGCTTATGAAAGTGCTATTTCCTTTTTCATTTAAATAGTGAATAAATTCAATTGAGTATTAGTGCATTAGCTGAAGACACCTACGGACTTACCTAATATTTTTTGCCTTTGATTTTTTTTTTTTTCTCTTTTACAGTAATAGAAATAATAAAAATGGCTCCAAAGAAGAATGTCAAGAGGATGTCAACAGGAATGATAACAGAAAAGGATCTCAAATTATTGAACAAGATATGGGAGATGAGTCAGATGACTCTACTAATGGAGAGGATGAAGGACTAGATATGCCAATACTAGATCCTGATAGTGATAGTAGTGATAATATTAGTCTTGAAATTTAATGAATATGAGAAATAACTGGTTTTAGATTTGGTTACTTATGGATTTTGGTATTTAGATTTTTTTTAATTTGAATTTATATGATATTATATATTTTTAAGTTATTTTTAATTTGTTTCTGAATCTTACGATTCGATACGATTCACGATACAAAAAAGCAGCCGAACGATTCACGATACGTATTGTGATTCAACAACCATGGTCATCCCTCATTCTATACTTGCTACGTAAGACTTGCACCCAAAGAGCATTCCTTTCAGTTAACATTCCATGCCCGACTTTCATCATATAAGCTTTATTAACAGATCTCTCATGCTTCATGTCAAGCCCACCTCTTTCATTGGTTGGCATAAATTGTCCCATTTAATAAGGTGTACCATTCTTTTATTCGAAGACGAACCCCAAATAAAATTACGGGTACCTTTCTCCATCTCATCACACACCGAGAGAGGGAGGTCAGAAGATTGCATGGTATAAGAGGGTAAGGTAAAGAGAACCGACTTTGCAAGGGTGATTCTCCCACTCATAGAGAGAGCAGATGCGTTCCACAAATTTAACCTTCTGTTCACACGATCCAAAATATGGCTAAAGGAACCTCCCTTGACTCTACCATGGTGCAAGAGGATCCTAATTTTCCAAGATCACTAGTCACTCCAAACCCCAAAGCCTAACTGATTTCCCTAGATCTATTAAAGTTAACATTCTTAGAAAAAGCAACCCTGGTTTTATCCTGACTAACGAACTAGCTAGAAACCTTGCAAAAATAGTCAAGGACAGAACAAATGATACTCGCTTGCTCAGTAGAGACTTCCACGAACAAGATTATGTCATCTGCAAAAAAGAAGTGAGTCAAAGGAGGACCCTTTCTTCTCAAAAAGATAGGGCACCATTCCTTCTGCGGGACAACAAGTTGGATGAGATGAGCAAGACGCTCTATATAGAAAACGAATATATAGGGGGAGATGGGGTCCCCCTGCCTAATTCCTCTAGTAAGCTGGAAATTCAAAGTAGTTTTGCCATTCCATAACACGTTTAGAGAAGATGATGAAACACATTGGCTGATAAGATCAACTACCCCCTACGAAAAGCCAGCATCCTCCAAAGTATCTTTGATAAAAACCCAACTTAGACAATCATATGCCTTCTCCAGATCGATTTTAATTGCCATCAACTCGTTCTTCCCTTTTTCGTTCTTATCGAGTGAGCAACCTCCTGAGCTATGATAACAAAGCTACACTGGTTAGGAGATATCAGAATAGGCATGATTTGCTTCAACTTATTCGAAATTAGTTTCGTAATGATTTTGTAAGAAACATTACAAATACTGATAGAGCAGAACTGTGTAATCGCCTCTGGAGCCTCCATTTTCTGGATCAGACATATATGAGTCTGATTGATTTTCCTCACACATTTAGGGTTGCAAAAACCTCTTTAACCAGCTTACAGGCAGAGGGTCCAACATCCTCCATTGGGATTGAAAAAAGGCAGCGTTCAACTCATTAGGCCCAGGCAACTTAGTGGGTAGTCTCCCAATATCCAGCAATTCCTGGTTACCTAGAAGAGGGAAGGCCCCCCTCAAAAGGAACTGAAAAATGGAAGCACCTCATCATGAAAAAAGGTTCTAAAGTACTCAGTAGCATGTTGAATGAGATCTTGTTCACCTGTTACCCATATGCCACTATCATCCTCCTCGATCCTATTTCTCCTTCTCCTAGCCACCACATTAGCATGAAAAAATCTTGTGTTCCTG